TGTGGAATAACTACAGGAGTAAATTCATCATGAACTACCTGATCACGGTCTTCTAGAACCAAAGGAATTTTCAGACAAGACAGATGGTCACTTTCAAAAGAAGGCAGACACATGTAAGCCACATAGACTATGCAACGCTTGCCTGCTTAAGGAGTCTTCTGAGGTTCCCACTGCACTGGATTACAACCTAAGCTCCTGTTCCTGCCATGATGAGTTCCTGCCCATGGGGCTGCCTTCTCCTCCCACCACCCTCATTGGACTCCCTCCACTCTGGCCACGCTTGCCTCGTTGTCCCCGAAGCACCCCAAGCTTGCTGCCCCCTCAGAGCCTTTGCTGTTGCCCCACTCAGCATGCTCTTTCCTCTGATCTTCACAAGATTGGCTTGTTCTCGTCTCTCAAGCCTCCCTCGGCCTCTCCTGATTGCCTAGGCTGACGCAGCGCCTTCTGCCCCAATCTGGCCCATCACATCATCTGGTTTCATTCTCCCTGTGGCCCTTCTCACTGAGTGGAATCATGTTAGCTTATTGTCTGTCTCCTCTCACAGAACGCAGGTTCCGTGACAGTATTGGTCTGGTCACCGCAGCTTCTCTAGTATTAATCACAGTGTCTGGCATCTAATAGGGGCTTCCACAATATTTGCTGGAAGGGTGAATGAATCGATAAATGAATGGAAGAAGGAATTCCCTCAAATATACAGTTCCACTCTTCTAAGAAGAAATACCCAAGAAAAAGAGGTAACGTCCCCAGGCAGGAACTCAGGAGGGCGGTCTCTGCAGGCCTCATCTCTGGATGGAGGTGCTGCAGTGCAAGCATGCAAGCCAAGACTCCACCACCCCTGGCACATGGCAGGGACCTAGGGAAGGAGCCCGTCAAGAAAACCAGCCACGAGAAGAGGAAGAGTTTACCCTTGTGCTCCTTGTCCTTCAGAGCCTGACATCTCCACTCACAGACAGCAGCTTCTCTGCTGAGACCCTGAGCACAGGCTGCCAGGAAGAGAGTGGCCCTGGAGACTTGCCAGATGGCTTATAGGCAACTGATCAGCAAACTTTGGCTGAGTATTGACTGAGTTCCAGGCACAAGGCTGGACACTGCAGGGGGCATCAGAAGAGACATGGCCTCTGCTTTCCAAGGCCTAGCAGTCCAGAACAGGAGAGAAAATGTGCCGAGAAAAAGAGATATACAAAAGTGCCATGTGAATTTCGTGGAAATTAAAAATGTCTGCTCTTCAAAAAACATGGTTATGGAAACAAAAGGACATGCCACAGACTTGGAGGAAATTTTTGCAAAACACATCTAATTTGTACCCAGAATATTAAAAAAATCTCAGAGCTCAACCATATGAAAATAGGTAACCCAATAAAAAAAAGAGCAAAGAATCTGAAGAGATTCTTCACCAAAGAAGATATGTGCGTGGCAAATGAAGCTCATGAAAAGATGTTCAACGTCATTAGGGAAATTCAAATTAAGATCACAAGAAGACACCACTATACACTATTAGAATGGCTGAAATTAAAAAGGTGACCATACCAAGTACTAATACCAAGTACTGGTGAAGAAAATGGAAGTCTTATACACTGGTGGTGGGTTGTGCAATGATATAGGCACTTTGGAAAACAGTTTGGCAGTTTCTTAAAAAAAAACCCAAACAAACATGCAACTCCCATATGACTCAGCCATTCCATTCCTAGGTACTTGTACACAAATGTTCATAGCAACTTTGTTGAAAGGTCAAAAACTGGAAACAACTCAAGAGTCCATTAGTGGACAAATAAACTATGGGACATTCATACAATGGACTAAGAATAAGAACAGTTAAGAAGGAACTGTTGATACACAGAACAGCATGGATGAATCTCAAAGTAATTATACACATTCAAAGGAGCCACACAAAGAAGAGTACACATTGCACAATTCTGTTCACACAAAATTACACAAAATGCTAACTAGTCTATAATGACAGGAGCACATCAGCGTTGTTTGGGGAGGGGGTGTAGGAGGAGGGGAAGAAGCAGGAGGAACCTTTCCGGGTGAGGGACATGTACAATGTCTTAATAATACTGATGGTTTCATGGCTGTTTACATATATAAAAACTTATCAAATTGTACACTGAATATGTGCAGTTTATTACATATCAATTATACCTCAATAGAACTGTCTTTTTAAAAAAAACTGTGCTACAGCTTCCAGCCAAGATGGATTGGATTTACCCTCCTGATTCAAGGAACTTAGAAAAAGAGACCAAATACATAAAACAATGGTTATCAGACGCAATGAGACAAACAGGTAGCATACGAGAGTGAGCCCTGAGAGAGGGAGAGAAAAAAGGAGGTGCCCAGTGATTGCTTCAGCTTACTGTTTGGAGAAAATGTCTAGGCCTCAGCACAGGGAGAGAAACGCCAAGCGAAGCTCACGGTCTCTCTGAGATGAGAAGAGTCTGGAGTTCAGGAGGCTTAGTAGCTAACATTCATGGGAGAGAGTACCAAAGACAAGGGAGCTGCAGAGAGAGAGCTCCAGAGATGTGCAAAGGGGCTTCAGCTGTGTTCTGATCTGAGCATGCATGGAACAAAAGAGAAAGACCTATCAGAATGAAGCAGAGGGAACAATCTTTGGAGCTCACACAGGGCTGGCGTGGAAAGACCACCTTACCATGGGACATCATATAGAGTCTCAGAAGGGTCTTGTCTTAGTAGTCGGGCCAAGCTAGCCGTAGACTAATGGCTCTCTGGATCAGCCTTAACAGAGCTTAAAAGCAAGTCTCAAAAAGAATCAAACTGATTCCAAGTAACTTAACCATAAGCCCAAAAATATTTAAAGGAAGAAAGAATCTTGCATTCAACAATGTAAAATTCAGAATAACTATCAACCAATCAAAAATTACTAGGCATGCAAAAAAAATGGGGTAGGGGGGCTATGATCCAATAGCAGGAGTGAGTCAATAATAGAAACAGCTAGAAATTACACAGATGACAGAATGGACAAAGAGAAAACAGAATGGAAATTATAAAATAAACTAAATGAAAATAAGTTACGTATATCAAAATTTTTTGGATGCAGCTAAAGCAGTGCTTAGAGAGAAACTTATAGCATAAACTCTTACTAAAAAAAAAAGAATGGTTTAAAAATCAATAATTGGTGCAAAGACGGTATGACTAAAAAGGAATGGCATGAGGGAATTTTTTGGATAATGGAACTGTAATGTATCCTGATTGTAGTGGTTTTCATACAAATACATACATGTGCTAAAATTCACAAAACTATATACAAAAAGAGTTAATTTTACTGCATGTTAATTTAAAAAATAAAATAAATTGAGTAGCTTAAAAAAAAATCAATGATCTAAGGAAAAACTGACGCAACTTGACGACTAAATGCTGGGCTCAAAGGTTGAAATTGCTTGGTTGGCAATTTCAATTGAAACAGAAAGAGTAGGTCCAGGTGTATTTATGGGGGTAAGAGTGTAACGTTAGACTGTTTCGAGGTGTTGCTGAAACACCGAGGTGGGCATGCAGCAGGCAGGAGGAAGGCTGCAGAGCTGGGATGAGGCAGATGCAGAGGGCAGGACTTGGGGGAATAGTGGGGAATCCACAGGTGGGGGTCGGTAAGTCTCATGGAGTTAGATTCACTCCAGTAACCGAAGGCCCCTGTGTGCCAGGTGCCAGGTGCCAAGCCAGGCTGAGGAGGGAAACATCAGCAGGATTCAGAGCCTGCTATGCTTCTTTTAAGCTTCAGGCTGGATCTACGGGCATGCGTGTGAACTCAATGATTTACACACAAGCACAGCCATTCTGACCAGTCCTGTCTACAAGAGGAAAAGCCTGGAGACAGTCTCAGGGCCATTCACTGATGGCATGGCAGACAAATAATGGCACAGACACAGGTTGAAAAGAACAACGCAGTTCAATTTGGATGTGAAAACAGTGTGCGGGCAGGTGATGGCGTGAGAAGAGCGAGAGAGCGAGAGAGCGAGGAGGGGGCAGATGATATGGACACCTCCACTTATGGCTAAGGGAGGCAACACGGAAATAAAATCATATATACCCCTACTTGGCTTTGCAGGAGAAACTGATAGCATGAACGGCCTTTGAAGAGGACAGCTGCGGGATGAAGATGGGAGGGCAGACTTTCTTCACTATATGTTCTTTTGCCTCTGACCGACTTATTTACCATGATTAATGGCTTAAGAATAAATACATACTTAGTTGAGTGCATTTTGATGTCTCTAGGCATAGGCTGTCTTAGTAAAACCAACTCCACCTACTCACCAATAAGCCTATGAAAAACCTACCTGATGCAATGTTTTGTCTATGCCAAGCCCAGCTCTTGGCAGAGGCTGGAAGGAATATTCCTGAAACCTTTGAAGAGCTTCTGATGTGGAACTTTTGGAAGGAGCCCGTGCCAAGCCAGGTGGGGCAAACACCAGTGGCCGTTCCCAGGAGTCAGCCATGAGGCAATGAATGAGCGCATCCTAACCAAACCTGTCAACTCCACAGTTGGATCATGGCCACGTAGCCTCATCAGGGGAAGCCAGAGAGCCACACCTTTCTTCAGAAAGGAAACCTACACTTCCACAAAATCCACCCAGGGTCTATTTTAGCTCTGAACCCAGAGCAAGAATATCAAGTATTATAAATAGCAAAACCAAGATCACAATTTGACTGATTTCAGTTCTGACATCAGGAAAGAGGCCGGACACTAAGTGAGTTGTAAAGCAAGGGGCTGGGAGAAAACCAGTGTGAATACAGTCATATTGGGTAGACAGTCCACACTTCAACCTTTCCCCCTCATATTGCCTGAGTAACCAATTCCTGTGGCTTCAGTCTGCAGAAAAACACCTCGGAAATTCTAACAAGGCTGAAGAGGAGTCTTGTGGAAGTCTGCTGAAGCCAGAAAGGAAATTCCTCCCAGATAGCGCTTTCCTTTCCCCTCCCTGCAAGCAGAGGAGAGGAGTGCCACCGAGTACTTGTGACAGAGCCAGGAATGCAGGTAGGGGGCTGCTTACCTTTATTATGAGACATGGCGTAGAGAAGGCAGAGCACAAACAGGGCATGGTAGTCGTCATCCGTGCTGTCCAGGGAGTGGTACACCATATCTAGGAAGGGTCTGGAAGACAGCAGGGCATGCCTGAGCCTTGTGGCACACACGGGTGAACACCTCCCGTCTCCCACCTGCCTGTGGGCCAATAGCTGCCCTTGCCTCTCACAACTCTGTACTTGTTCAGGCCACTGAATGTAGTGGGTCCACCGTGGGCCCAGGCCAGTACCAGGCACTGAAGACACAAAAGCAAATGAGGGATAGACTCTGCTCGTGCAGAGCTGCTATCTAGAGGGGAAACTGACCAAGGAACATATCATTTAGTCACTCAACAATCATTCAGCAGGTGTCCCAGACACTGGGGATCAATGATACGAAGTCCCTGCTCTTTGGCACGCCTTTGACAGTAGTTGGCAGAGACAGAGTACAGATAGAAACACATCATCACTTCAAAGTGATGTGTGTCACAGGAGAATGAAGAAATAGGGCAGTGTGACAGACTAACAATGCCAGACTAGACACAAACAATGATAACAAATTCAAGAATGTGGGCCCCGGGGCCAGACCACCTGGGTTAAATTTTGATTCTGCCTCTTAGCACAAACCCTTGGGCAAGTTATTTCAAACCTCCCCATTTCCCAGTCTGTATGATGGGGATTTGAACCTTGTGTGGTTATTGAGAGGGTTCAAGGGCAATGGAGCCTGAAAGGCAGTCAGCACAGGGCCAGGCACTGCGGAAGGTGCCAGTACATGGGAGTTGCTATTTGATTTCTATTCTTAATGTTAAAGGGCACTTCTCTGTGATTTCATTTTGGCAGGGTCCTCGCCCAGCAATTTCTTGGACAGACTTTTACCGACTGGTAAGAATCAGTAGCAAGGTCTCTCACCTCTGATGCTTTGTGGGCTAGATCTATAGATCGGCTGCAAATATCGGAAACACATATCCCAAATGCTGCCCTTCCAGGTGAAGGGCCTGGCCAGGCAAACCTCCCACACAAGACTAATAGAATATGCACAGATCTGCCTTGCTGGCAGGAGGCTCTGATCCTGTGATGGTCTGTGGCTGCCCCCTCTGGGTACCAGGTTGGGACCAGGAGAGCAGAGCCGCTCAGGGAGTAATCAAGGGCGCCGGTGAATCCCTGGGAGGACACGTAAGCTACTATCAACATTGGTTTCTATGGGGAGTGAAACTGGGTGAAGTGAAACAGGGAGACTGATCATTGCATGATCTTTTATACTTTTTTGAATTCTGAACTCCATAAATGTACCACCGATACAAAATATTAAACCGAAAAATGCCAAAGAAAAAGTAGTGAAAATGTACTTGTCATAACTTTTCAAATTAACATGTAACACACAAAAAAGTTAAAAGAAAAACCTTAAAGGAGACATTGATATTCCGTACCTGTTTCCCTGGAGCCCCAGATCACCTTTCAGATGTGTTTAATATTTCTGCCATATGTATATTTGTTTTTTGGGTTTTTTTGTGTGGCTGGCCGGTATGGGGATCCAAACCCTTAACGTTGGTGTTACAACACAACACTCTCTCAAGTGAGCTACCAGCCAGCCCCTTATATTGGTTTTTGAAAGCCTCCAGCGATAACACTTCCAAACTTACAAACGGAATAAAGTATAAAACATTTTCTTGTAAACCAGCTGCTTGGAATTTAAATTACATTTTCATTTGGGAATGATATGAACAATGAAGTGACAGCAGCAAAGACAGGGCCGGGCAAAGGGACCATCCTTTATGAGATGGAGTACTAAGGAAGCCATAAAGCATTTTGTTTACTAAGAATATAATAAAGTGAAAAAAAAATGTTTGGGGTGTGATATTATATGGAAAAGAGGAGGAGAAATAAAAACGATAAACAAGCTTCTGGGGGAAAAAAGGCAGAATTCCCAGAAACTTGGCATTGAAAAAAACTGGTAAGAATTAACCAAAATGGTAGTACAGTTGCCTTTGAATGCTGGGATCATGGATACATTTTTTTCATTCTTTATACTTTCAAGATTTTTCACGTTTTCTGAACGGGTATTACTATCATAAATTTTTAGGATTTTTTTTTTTTTTTTTTTTTTCAGGAAAAAAAACAATGTCTTGAATGTTTTTAGTTTCTTTGGCCTATATTTAACCCCGAATACAGATATAGCCTGTAATGTATGGGGAATATAAGAATACTCCACTTTTCATTCTGCTGTTTCTCAGGGCAAGTAGACAATGTCAAGATCCAACTCATGTCTTAGAGAACAAATGGCCACCTATCTGCATCCTCCGCACCTGCCCTGCCTCTGGGCTGGGAGCTGGGGAACAGAGGGCAGTGCCAGTTTCTCACGAAAAGCAACATGATACCTTGAAAAAGGAGACAGCAATTCTCCACCTGGACAAGTCTCTTCCCTGGCATTTGGTCTCAGAGAAGGGCAGAGATCTGGTCCAAGATTCCTGGGCCTGCATGCAGCCTAACTCAAGGCACCTGAACCAGCTTCCATTATAAACCATGTGGTCAAAGATGCCAGTTAGAGTCATCCAAAGTTAAGAAACAATCTCAATCAACTAAGAAAACCCCTCTTCACTAAAATTCAAGAAAAATGAAGCCATCAACCACAATAGTCAAATATAACATTTTGATCTGTTTCTTACCTTTCTTTTTATAAGGCAACACATGTGTGTTTTTCTTCCTTTAGCAAAGCTACAGTATTGCCATACTATGCAAAATACGTACTGTTTCCATTCATTAGTTCCTAAGAAACTGAACACATAATGACGGTATTTGCATAAAAGCAGCAGCTAATATTCTGTTAGGCAGATACACCTTCACCTGCTAAGCACGCTCCACTCCTAGTCATTTGTCACTTTCCCAATTATTCACTTTCTGACTAATGCTGTGCCAAACATCTAAATGTTGTCCCCACCTTCTGTGTTTAGAATGACTTCCTTACTTTTCAGAGCTTCAGGAGTTACATTTTTTTTTTTTTACTGCCAAGCAAAATCAAAAAGGTCTTTATAAATTACACCAATGTTTTTTATTTAACAAAAACTAAAAATGGCTCCTTGGCACATCTGATAAAAATTAATCCCATCTGTTAGATAATTGAAACATTTGCCAAGCAGGAAGATAAACAAGATGTGGAGGGAAAAATTAGCAAGCTTCAACCCTTCCCTTCAAGTTGAATTAATAAATAGGATGGGGTGTGTGTGTATTTCCATCACCCCACCCTGAGGGCTCAAGGATGTGAATGCCTTGTAGCTTGTCAGAGAAACCATGCTGTCATGCATTTATTAACACTAAGGTAGTGTTAATAAGGAAGTTTTTGCAGGGGTCTGTGCAGTGGGGCCTCTTGATAAAGAAATAACCCTGAAATGAAGAAGCCCTCTTTTAACAGTTCACTGCATACTTTGGGAGTGTTCCACCCAATCCCTTTGTGGATGGGGTGGTACCACTGCAAGCTTAAAGGAAATACGGCATTGCCAAGGTTTAAGAAGATGTAGCTTCAGCAGGCCATCATTGAAATGAACAATCAGGCAAAAAGTCAAAGGTGGACAGCAGCATTAAATCACGGCAGCTGAGTCATGAGGGTGGCACCATGGGCCATAGTGCACGTGGCCATGAATGAATGAGGCAGGGAGATCCCAGTCTGAGGGGATCCTTTCTGGGAGCAGCAGAGCATTTCCAGGAAGCATGGCCCACATCCTTTAGCCAGAGCCCAGCTCCAAAGTGCTCCAGGGGTGGTAGTGCTCTATCCTGGCCATCTCTTTCCAAGGGGTGAGCTCTACAGTGTCAAGTGACAGCTCTGTCCCCATGCCTCTTGCGGAGAGCCGTGCCTCTGGGTGGCCAGGGGCTGGAGAAGGAAAGGAAGCAGCATAGAAGAGGCTATCCGGTGGGTGGGAAGAGGCCCTGGATGATTCTTCATAATCGCCCTGGCCAAGGTACTCAACCTCCCCACCGAGCCACCTCCTCTTCCCTAAGACTGAGCAGTGGCCCCGCCCAACAGTGCCCCTGCCCAACTTGCCCGACTTGAGTGCAGCAGACCTGGGCCTTGGGCGGTTACCTGCTCCACTGTGTGTTCTCATAACCCGTGGCAGCGGCGCTCTTCTCCTCATCTGTGGTGTTCTGTTCCTGCACGGAGGTGCTGGTGGCCAGCTCCGAGAGCTTGCTGCGCTCCATGATGACCATCTCGATCTCTGAAAGCAAACACAAGAGTGGGATGAGCTTTACAGAACTAGATTTATACACACACTCATGTTCAAGAATAAGTACACAGAAATCACTCCTAACATATCAAGCAAATGTTCAACAGTGGTGACCTGAACACCAGCAACACACCAGGGGAGAAATAAGACGGAGGTCAGAACCTCCCTTTCCATTCATCTTGGCAACACCAAGAAATGTGGCCCAGATTTTGACAACACAAATTATAATCATTTATTTAATTTCAAGATTAAAAAATGATACTTATTTTACTTGAATACCACATTTTCTTCCCAAAGGATCTGAGGCAGCTTAGAAGGTATGATATGTGGTCAATAAAATATACCCAAACTCACAGAAAATATCCTAAAGCTGTTTACATGTTAGAAAGGGCTCTGACATGACTGAAGCCTTTTGTTTTCCCTTCCCACTTAATACTTCTGTAGGCAGAGAGAGGTTAGCAATCTCGTTTTATTTTTTCCATAGTTAAAGAAGGACAACTTAGAGCAACCAACTTAAGCATGATGTGCATTTCTATTTCTCAGAAACAGTTAAGAACCACTAATGAAAAACATCTTGAATTAAAGATGGATGGTTGTGTTTTAAGGTGTCCCCAAAACAGAGTTCTCTGCTGTGCGATGTGGACTTTCAAACAGCACATCCTTGGAACTCAGAGTTCAAGCCATTTCCCCCTTCTTCAGGAGACATAATGGGGAAAAGTAGATGACAAAATGTGAACCTACATTTCTGTTTCTGGAAGGATGAGAAAGCATACTTCAGGCTCTGAGACTGCCTCTGTCATGGTCTTCTCCGGGCTTGGCCAGGGGCCTCCTCACTAGCCTCAGCTTCCTTTCTTATCCCCCTAGTTTGTTCTCCACACAAACTCAAAGTGATTTTAAATGGAAATTAGCTCACATCACCCTTCCATTCAAAACTCCCAAGGCCTTCCCATCATGTTCAGGATGAAATCCAAATGCCTTCCCACGACCTTAACGCCTTGCACGGCTTGGCCCCCATCTACCTCTAACCTCACCCCCTTCCACCCCCTGCCCTCCCTGCCTTGCTGGCTCACACCACTCCAGCTGTGCTGAGCTTCTCACTATTTCTAAAATGCCCCAAGCTTGTTTCTGCCCCAGAGTCTTTCCACAGATGTTTCCCCTGCCTGGAAGGCTCTCACTCCAGGTCTTCATTACCCAGGCATGACTCAGTCACATCATTCCAGGCTCGGCTCCATTGTCTCCTCCTTGGAGATATTTTCTTGAATGCCCTCTCCACCTGTTTTGGTTTTTTTAAACCTCTTCTTAAATCATTATTAACTAAACTCCATATTTTGTTGAGATTGCATTAGTTTTCCCCCAATGTCCTTTTTCTGCTCCAAGATCCCTTGTTACATTCAGTCATCATGCTTAGGCTTCTCTAGGCTGTGAGAGTTTCTCAGACTTTCCTTGCTTTTGATGACCTTGGCAGTTTGAGGAGTACTGGTCAGGGATCATGAAGAGACCCTTGATCTGGGTTTGTCTGATGGTTTGCAGATAGTGAGACTGGGGCTATGGGTACTGGGAAGAAAGACCACAGAAGGGAAGTGATCTTCTCATCACATCAAATCAAGGGCACACACTATCAATATGACTTCTGACTACTGATGTTAATCTTTAATACTTGGCCAGGCTAATGTTCATCAGCTTTCTCCACTGTAACTTTTCCTCCTCCTTCCATACCATACTCTGTGGAAGGAAGTCATTATGCACAGGCCACACTTAAGGAAGGGGGAGTTACATTCTACTTCCTTGAGGATCCACATAATTTAGAATTTTTCTATAAAGGAGATTTGTCTTCCCTTCCCCCCTTACCTTGATTTTACTTGATAACATTTATAACTACTTGGATTTCACATTCTCTATTGTTTTGCTTGTTTACTATCTGCCTCCCTCCATTACAATGTAGGCTTCATAACACTAGCTGCCTGATCTGTCTTGTACTCCACTGTATCTCTGATATCTAGCTCAGGGCCTGGCACATAGTAGGTGCACAATAAATATCTCTTGAATGGATGACTGGTCTAGCCCAATGGGGGAAGTTTTGGCAATAGGCAGGGTCGGCATTGATTCATGGCAGCTGTGATGTGTGGTGGGGTGGTCCACAGCCAAACAGTCTTCTCAGAGAGCGACGGCTCATCCCTGCCACTCTCCCTGGACTCTATTAGGCATGACTGTGCTTGCAGCCACCCCGGCACAGAGGAGTGTGCCCCACACATGTCCATATGGGACCTGCACCTCTGGGAGGCTCACTTTCATCAGTCCCCTTCCCTCCCAATCCGATCTGAAGCCAGATGCCACAGAGTCTCCCACAGGGCAGTCCCCCATCACATGGGGGGAGCCAACAGATGATTTTTAAGTGCTATGTAAACAAACATTTTATTTGTATAGCTTTATATTTATTTTAATGTGCATTAGAAGAAAATTCTAACTGCATAGAAAACCTATTTTTTTTATAGATATTACTGCTTAGAATAAGGCTAAATTTAAGAAAAAAGTGAGTCAATTTATAGAAAGTTATTGAGTAAACACCATTATAAGCAGTCTATGGACATGAAAGAGCAGGAAGGTGGTACAGACTGCCGGGTGGGAAACACTCTTCTCTTTCCTGGCATTTTCACCTCCACCAACCTCCTTCAGGAGCCCATTCCCCTTCCAACTACCCTGGCCTTCTCCAAAGTGGGGGGCAGATACCTCAGTGGGGATGCAAAATGATTTGCTGGGCACTAGGTCTTTTATTTTTAATTCTTCTCATCTTTTAACATCTTTTTTGTTTATTTTATACTGTACATAACATTAGCACAGTAATGCAAATATGTACAATTTATAATAAATAAGGGTATATATATTTGGGAGATGCATGCTTAAGTTTTGTATGTATTTGTTTTGTTCGTGTTTACTGATAAGGCATGCCACCAGAGACATCTGAACCCTACCAAGCAAGACTATGATGCCTGCTGCCTCCTGGCCTCTGGCCTCTGCCCTGTGACCACAGGCCACCTCCCGTGCAGTTGCAAGTTCTCCCTCCCCATGCACAGCACCACCCCTGCCTGGCTGACACAGCAGGGGAACTTGGCTTCAAGGACTCCCAGGGTTACAGGGCCAAGCCCCAGGGCCTCCACCTGGAGGCCAAGTCTGCTGTGACCTGGTTGTCTCTTTTCTGGCTTTTTAATCTCCTCAGACACAATCAGAATTCTGGAGTCAAGGAAAGATTAAAGACAATCCAGCCCTGTGCTTATCACATGTTTTCTTAAGCAGCAAATATTAATTTTGGATGACAGTTTTCTGGGTCACACCACCATGGGAAACAGTTGAGAGCAGAGCCACCCCAGGTGAAGGGTGGTGGGCACCGAATGTCTCTGACCACGTGTCCCCTCATGCAGAACCTTCCTTCTGGAATTCTGGGCTTCACACAAAACTGCCTGGAAACCACTGGTTTGGTCCAACCCTGGATACCATATAGGAGGAAGCAAAAACCCAGAAGTATAGTGACTTCACACAGCTAGAAATGCAGTGGCGAGGCCAGCCCTGCCCCCTCCCCAGCCCCCACGTCATGTCCTGCTGCAAGACCAGGCCCACAAGGGCCTCTCCACACACAACAAGGTTTCCAGTCCTCGGCTGTGTCACTCTGGTGCTCACAGTGGCATCCCCTGCCCCTCCCACATAGTTCTCATCTAGCTGGCATAGTTGTGGAATGACCTGTTCCACTAGGTTAATTTTCTAGATGAATGTAGATCAGTTCTTCCCATGATAAAACCAGGCTTTCCCCCTTCTTTTTAAAAACTTTATCTAAACAACTCTTAGAAGTACTGGCTCTTAGCTAGGGTCTGCCAGTTCCCTGAAACTGTACACAAAACGCTCCATGGCATGGGAGTGGTGGGTAATAATTGGTTTTTAGGATGTCGGTCTCCCTAGATTTTCACCATTCTAAAATGAATTCTGCAGGTGTCTTTCAAAAAGAATGCTGAAGAAGATCTGACCTTTCCTGATAACTCAGGGTCACAGTGAATCCCCTCTTAATCCCTCAACAGAAGGTCCGGCATGGTTCTGTGCTGCCTTCTGGGTCCCCACTCCCGCTTGTCCCTGCTGACACTGTGCCCATCTCAGTGTCGCCTAGGGTGCATATGCCATGCTGCCACCACCCGGGAAAGATGCTCAGTGGGCTCATGTGGACACAGATTTCCACTGATGGTCACTGAAGCCAGGACTCAGGCTCTGACAATAGATTCCTGGTGGCTCCCTCTGAACTTTGGTTATTATACTGTGAGCCACCTTCCCCCACAATCAGGTTTTTATTTTGCAGTTTGAAGGGACTACAGCAATAATTTAGCCCTGTTTTGCTCAAACTTCAGTCATTTGTTTGCCTTTATGATTTTTGTCACATCTGTGTGTTGCCGGTACCCCTTGTCATTTGGGCAATCATTTTATTTGAACTATCTCACTTTTTTTTTTCACTTAAATACATTTTAAAAGGAAACTTTAAATCACTATTGTTCTCTTCCACCTAGCAGTCCCACTTGTAGAAATTTATATGGAAGACACACCTCCAACAATATGAAAATGCACACACACAAGGGTATTCACTGCAGTACTATCTGTAATTGCAAAATAGTGGAAACTACCTAAATGTCCAAGCATGAGAGATTGGTTAAATAAACTATGGTACATACACACAGTGCAGCTGTAAAAGGAATGAGGAAGACCGCTGGGAACTGATATGGAGTGATTTCCAGAGATATTGCTAAGCAAAAGAGAGAGTGCCAAAGACACATATAACACGCTGCCCTGTGTGTAAGAAAAAAGAGAAAATAAAACATACATAAATCTGCTTACTTTTACAAAAAGAAATGCAGGAAAGATACTCAAGAAAACAATCAAGTTTGTTATCCACCAGAGGAGGGGGAAATGAGATGGAAAGGATGTGGTGAGGGAGGGATACTTCTTTGAACTTAGTTTTT